TCAGCCACTTTTGAAATATTGAAGATACTGTAGATTTAGAAATTCCGAATTTAACTGCTAGATCAAGTTCAAACAGCCCAACGCGAACTCTGCACAGATATAATAAGAACTGGTTCTCGGCATCCAATTTGTGCGGTCGTCCGGCCTTTTTCTTATCATCTGTTGTTGGCTCATCAGATTTTGGTTTGGGCTTTATATTTTCTCCATTTTCCCCAGGGTTGATAAATGCTAAAACAGCTCGAAAAGTTTTTTTATCTTGAAAACCAGTGTAAAATGGTACTTGTGATTCCTTGAGGTTACTAAAGCTAAATTCTTTTCCTTTCAAATCTTTATTTTCTTTGATGAGATTATCACATTTAATTTCTAAATCCTGACATGCTGTAGAAGTATCATTGAGTTTTTTCTTTAAGGTAGTCAAATCCCGGGTCAAATCACATGACTTCTCGATGTTGTGAGCATTTATTTGTGATGACAAAACTGACACCTCTTCTTTCAGTTTCATATTTTCTTCTTGTAACAGTAACATTTCCAATCTCGCACATACTTCATGTAATACCTTAGTCGAACAGTCTCTACATTCTTTTATAGGTGTAGACGCGGGAGTTATCATTTTCTCGGGGACTGGAATTGAGTGTAGTTTTCTTTTGGAGTCTAACATAATACGGTCTTTTTGGATTTTATTAAGTGGTCTGTTTTTTAAAGTAGTTGTTTTCAAGTGAGGGACATCAACCCAGCAAGTAAATTCATGTGGAACAGTGCCAGTTTTGAGTGTTCTACTTTTGCTGTATCCATGATAGTCAAAATCATTGTCATCAAAATGTAAGCTGCAGATTCTGCTTGAAGGTTTTACGGTAAACGTTTTATCTTCACATCTATGAATGGCAACTAGCCACTTTTGTTTCATCCCCTCTGGAATTTGGACATATGTTACATATTTGCCCATAGCGACAGTGTTACCATGGCTGTTGCACTTTGGAACTATGCAATGTGTGTGGATAATTTTTTTAGAGTCCCGACTCTTATTTTGAAATCTAGTGACATGGTACCTGTGGTAAGCTTGTGGGCCAAATCCAATCTCAGCCTGGAAAAAATAAATCATTTTTCATCGTTTATATTCATTGATAAAAATCCAACAAACATAAACACAATTTACAGTAGATGTTTTAAAATAAAACTAGATGCCGGAGCCATAATAAACGGATCATCATATTCATTGGTAAAATATGGTTCAATAAAAATAGCAAGATTTACAGTAGTAGGTTTATCAGTAAGAGCGAAGACCCCATAAACTCATAGGCTTTGGCTAGGATGAAGATGGCTTTGGGATGATCAATAAACATGCATAACTGTCAAATTGTAGATAGTATTTGAGCTTATTATTAATCACAGCTTTTAATAATACTTGTAAAAACGTACGACAACTAGACAAAATGGAATTGTATTTCAAAATATTACAATAAACATTGCACAATCTCTGCAGGATATTCGGATCTGTTATAAGGGGTCTTATGAGCAAAGGCAAAATGGCTTAACATTTTTGAGAATTGCCGATATATATGGACATATAAATGAGAACTCTGTTTGAATATTTAGTTGGAATATACCTATTAAATGACATTGGTACATGGGAGTTTGATTATTCATAGAATATAATGATAACTTACCATGATCAGCAGAATATAAGTGACACTGAAACCGGCACTGAAAAAGGTAAGTCTGTCACGTACTTTCAGATTTTGATTTTCCCGCTGTACTATGCAGGACAAGACTCCGCGAGTGACGTCACTGCTGTATTCAGCGGCCTTATGAATATTCATGACGTGACTTTATGGAAAGGTGTTTACTTGCAACTTGATATAATGAATTGAATAAAATACAGGGTTATAAAATTGTATGCAATTTGAAATGGTAGACTCCAAACGTTAGAAATTCCAATGATTTTCTAAATGAAGTTCACATTATGTAGATGACCATAAATAAATGAAGTAACTATGAAGCCATCGAATGTATGGAAGAATGTAATTATTTAGGCCTACCCAAGTTTCAGCTGTTGAAGTTGAAGCCATAATTGGAGCACGTCCGTCCCTCAGCACGTTGCAAATATACTACCTCAAACTATGTTCACTGGCTAATGATCATGTGATCTTCAGTCTCGAATCTCACGAGATTTGAAACGAGGTTTTAAAGGAAACCGGAAGTATTTTAACCAGGAATTTGTGAAAACATCATTTTCAGTAAGTAAAATATAATGAAGTACAATATCGACCAGGTCCCTTTGCCATACTGGCGATAAATTACAAATGTCGGGCCCCTGGTCGCTACAACACTAAAAAAAAAACGCCAAAATACTATATTCAAAGGATTTAAGTGCCAAAAAATTTTTTTTTGATATACGTCGTCATATTTGTTATAGAAATAATAAGAATATAACTAATTAGGCTATTAATTTAGTTTTCTAAATCAAAGTGTACAAACTGCAACCATGCTCCCAGTAACTCAAAGTCATATTGGTAGAAAATTGATATTATGAAGTTAATTATTTGTAGTAACAATAGGAGCCTGTTTCCAGTTTACATGGACCCTTTCAAAACTTTACCCTTAGTTCTGATGGCATAAGAAATCAATAACGTTTAATACCTGCAAAACATTATGAAATAATAAGATGATTACCACATTTTATTTTTTTCTAAATAATCATATTTATGATTACATTTAATAAAAATTGGGTTTCATTGTTTTATAAAGATATATCCATTAGCGTCACACCATATATCAGCTTGAAGTCATTTTCCAGCATCAAGTCCAATTATCATCATAATCTTCATTACCTGAAGTAAAATATCATTACAATTTCTAATATTAATTAATGGTATGCGCAATTGCCAAACTAGACTCTAAATAAAGAATTTTTAATTCCCCTCCCCCTATTTTTATTTATCAATATAATTAACCGGCACCATTAAATCAAGCAAGTGAAATGTAAAATGTCTTAATATAGAGAAAATCACAAGACACATTTACTGAATAAACATACCTAAATTTCTGGGTACCATCAATATATTCACATCTGTTATTCAGGACATGCCATGAACATAGTTTCTAGTTTTTTCTCAGGAAAATACTTCCTCAATAGGTTTTGCATGTGATTAATTTTGTTCTCATCTTTTATGATCAACTTATTCCAATCAAGGAATATATCCGTGTTTAATCCATTAACATAAACGAAGGCCGCTATCATCACCCTGTCCCAATGACCAAAATTTCCTTCTCATACCATAGGGCCATTTATCCAAAGGTCCTATAACTTCTATTATGGATGACCATATTTTGTATAGGGGATGTGTTCCTGGCATCTTGTTTTTACTAATGGTGTACAACTAATAAGGAACATATTCATATTAATTCATGTTCATAATGTGTACCATCTGTGTCTTCTTGAAAAGTCTATGCCTATTGTTGGCTCATGGTAGTGGTAGGAATCCCTTAGTGTTTCTGTTGACTTCTCATGGGTATAAGTTGTGAAGTTGCCATAAGATGATTTCAAAAGGAATGAAGTGATGTGGATGGCAATATTGCATTTGGAGTTAACATTATCTGGGAGATCATTAATACTCAACTAGATTAAATGATATGAGCCAGAAATATTGTAGAATTGATACAATTCTTTGATAAGCTTGCCTGCTAGATTTGATTCTCTGTTTAAAATACAATATATAAAGTGTTTTGATATTGAATTTAAACATTGTGCAGGTAATTACAAAAATGATGAACATATTTCCCTTGAGGTTTTTATTGTATTATTTCAAATGTTACCCTTTCAGAAACAAATTTCTACATCCTCGTTTAAAACTTATTGGTAAAAGTTTGCCATTATAGAGACAAACATGTCTAGGTGATAAAAAACATGACAGAAATCAAAACACAATGCCACAACTTTTATAGAAAAAATCACAAGAAAACAACTAAACAAGATCAGAAACTACCAAATAATATGACACCCACCCAGACTTTAGAGGGTACACTATTTTATACCCAACGTAATTTAACACGCGAGGTCATCACCTGTATAGTACATTGTTGTATGTGTTGTGCCTATTCATTAAAATCTCTCCAGGCACATTCATTTAACCAATTTGTATATGCAGTACTTTCCACTTCTGTTAAAAATATAATCCTACCCAATTCCCTATCCTGAATATTAGCTGTTCATTTAATTCAAAATGTGAGAAGAATTCACTCAAATTGAGCATGTTTTATACAAAATGATTACAGGGAGATATCTAAATCATCTTATTAAGCCCGATAATACTAGGAACTATATTTTGGCAGTTCAATCTGGCAAGCCTGTTATTTGTTATTATCAGCCCTTGACTTCCCAATGGTCTTGTTCAGTTTCTGGTACAGATGTTGGCGAGGAGGTATACTCTTGTTCTGTCGAATTTGTGGGTGGCAAGGGTTGGTCATTTGATTCTCCAAATATTAACTTTCTCCTCTTCACACTTCTCTGCATATGTTGGGACTCAGATTCATGTTTCACTTTCGATCAAAATTGAAGTGTTAGAAGAGGGTTGGAGTCTGTTGGCTTGCCATCTTGAAAATGAAGAGAACAAACTCTGTTGTCAGGTGATGGTTCCAAAAGGTCAGACCATTGTTGAAAACTTCTCACAGATCGAGCCATAAACTAGGAAAAAACACAGACAGCGGTAAGTACTTATAAATAAATGTTTACTGATATAACATGACTACCACCTATCTAATGTTGCATGTTTGATCATCTTGCTGTGGTGTTGTGTAATCACTTGGCTTAACCAAGATCAACATTAGGCCAAGATTTGATATTGTCTTCCCAAGAGTTGATAGCATTAGGGTTGATCACACCATGTATTGAAAGTTATATATCTATGTAATTACTGTTCATATGTTTTTTTTAAATATAAATAACTACTGATTATATGTTCATGCTTTATGTATATAAGTTATAACTGTTTAGGCTATGTTCT